AATGCTACTTTGTAAGGGTTCCAAAACCTGTTGGAAGCAAAAAGTCAAATTTATATGATTGCTTTAATTTGAGACCTTGAGTTTTGTCCTGCTGCTATTGATGTTACAGGGAGTGGGTATGTGTCTGCTTTCATGAGAGGTTATAGAAAGCTGCTGCTGAGTTTTGATCAGCTAAGATTATTCTAGCTACTTGTTCTAACAGGCTTTGCTCTCTGGAGTGAATAAACTGCTGGTCAGAATGTCTGACACGCTTCTATGCATTCCACTATACCTGGATTTCTGCAAAGTAAAAGGAAAAAGTAACTTGTGATTCATTTTGTATACTAAATTGTAACACAGGCAAACTCCTATTCAGGTGAAAATGGTCAATAGTTTTGATAGAGAAAATTTTCATAGGTGTGAAAGATTATTTCCAAGCTTTCCCAAGGTGTTAGTGAGCCATTCATTGAACTGCAGGGATGTTGTCTGATGTTGGTTTCTTTTACCCTGGTGTAATTTGACTGAAGTTTAACTTGCATGAGATCAGGGTCAGTGAAGGCTCTCTATCCTGTACTCCTGTTGTTGCCTGCATTTCTTAAATATTAAGAGCCTGACAGCTTACAAAATGCCTTTTCTACTGTCTTTCACTCTTTTGCTTGTGTTTGGAAAATCACTGGATTTTAGATTTAGTTTACTTGTGACGCTTATTCTTACTTCCTGTGCTATCTATGTCATGCATTAGGTCAGAATATGGAGTATACTCTTTATTTGCAGTCAACTACTTCGGGCAGATTTCCCTTGAAGTAGGTAAGACAATCCATGCCTCTTAGCTGTTGCCTTTGTCAAGTGCTGTTGTGTGTTGAAGCAGAAAGTCTCTGTCTGTTCACTTATGACTTCAGTGAACCTGAAGTCAGTAGAGCAGAAGTAGCATAAGCCTAATAAAATTCAATGATGATAGCTGGGTTGAGATGTAACTGTCCTCAGCGTCTATAACTAAAAACATTTGCAGTTTGAATTTACATGGTTAATAATTGTATTCTAGAGTGTTACTGATTTTTCATTCTGTCCAGTTTGCATAAATTAAAATATGGAGGTTTTGGAGGTGCCTTTGTTTTGTGAATTATAATTTTTTTTTAACATTGCTGTTAATTTTATAGCTAAGTAATACTTAAACATGTGAAAGCAAGGTCAGCCAGCTGTATCTTTTGGTAGCTTCTGTGGAGCAGCTGTGAAAAGTGAAATTGTTACAACTACTGTTGTCCTCCATTAGTGCTTCCTAAATGCTGTGGGAGCGATCCCTAATTCTGCATGCTTTTTCAAGTTTTTCTTTGTTGTATTTCTGTTAGTTTAAGAAATCAAATGGAGCTTTAGATATCCCATGAATGATAGCTTGAATAGCTTCTTGAATTACAATTGTGCAATGTAGAGCTTTTATGCCACAATATTGGTGGTGCTAGTGAAGTGGGCAGTTCAGGAAAGGTTAAAAGATTAGGCTTCTTGATGCCTGTGTAGATTACTTTACAGAATTTAAGGTATCTACGTTCTGAATATTAGTTTAAGTTCAGAGTATTTTTACATGGTATTTGAAATGCAGCTCACCCGCCTAAAAGCAGTGGTGTCCCCAAAAGCACACACAACTTCAATGTGAGTTGTCTGTAGATCTTGAGCTCTTCTGAATTTCTGCTTCCATATTTTGCGAACACTGCTATACGTTCCTTAAAAGTTTTTCTAAGTTTGTTCTGTAGTAATTAAAGCCTTGTCACTGAAACTCTTCTCATGTATAGGGACTGGGTTGGCTCTGATGGATTGTTTTGTAGAGTTTATATTGTATTTATGCTTTAAATATGTTTCAAATACTTTGAGGTCTTCGAGTCTAGAGCACACTACAAAAATAAGAGCCCCAAAAGATGACATTTTAAGAAATCTTTCTGGAGTTGGTCATGTTTTCCACTGAGTTCAGAGATATGTTATCTGCCATTGTTGTCCCAGTAAAACAGGATTTGTGTTTTATCAGGAGTCTTTCATGTTAAAAATACCTTTTGTTGAATAATCCTCAGGTTTCCTCTAAACATGAGCAAATATTTCTCTACTCTCTAGACTGCAGAAGAAGTAAATACACTATACTCATACTCCTTAAGAGAAGCTTTTATTTTCTTTGTGAGGCCCCAGAGCTCCTTACAGGCAAAATTACAAAATCAAAGATGACACATTCTTGCAGTGAGCTGCTGAATCGTCTGCAGGGCTATTGTCTGTTTCCAGGAACAAATTAGCCTGCAAGAGCTACAAATCCTGTCACTTTTTCTTGCCTTTATGTTGCACCAGCCTCAGTTTTTATGTGTGAAGATTTGATACCTAACACCCTGATACCATGCTGAACATTAAGTGGTCAGTTTCTCTCTGGGATGTGGAAAGGGCATTCCTTAGGTGCCTCTTAGTTGCTGCGTTTTCAGAAGGTCTTAAGAAAATCTCAGAACTATCCCTGGTCAGGGACAAGTCTGTCTTTAAACTTCACAAAAAACCTCTTCTGACGGAGCACATCCAAAAAATATAATAATTATTTTTAATGACACCATGTCTTGAATTAATAAACCAATGCTTTTAATATAGATTTGGTGTTGATGGAGTTGTGACTGTTGATGGAATTAAGTAGCCATATCAAAACAAATTATAGGCCAAAGTTCATCTTCTCAAAGCATTCTGTTAATTTTTATTTGCTTCACTAGCTTCATATAGACTTGATGCTCTGTATTGATGAATGATGGGGGGAGCAGCTGACAGCTTACAAAATTATTTTTTATCTTTGTTTTATCTTGCTTCAGTTCTGTCCCTGCTCCCCCAGCTTCATCCATTTCAGTGTGTTATCTTCACGTGTGGCTTAGCCTGTGGTGCTGGTTTAGGCTGGAATTGCAGGAGTGCTGCGTTTCCATGAGCACTCTCAGAAGCTAGAGGGGCTTCAGGCCTCGCATCCTTGTTTTCCTGACTGCACCCACACTAGCACTTGTCTGAGGTCTGATGAGGTAAATTGGAAGGCTTAAAACTCTTTTTCTTCTTGGTGTGTTGTACAAGATCACATGATTTATCTGAAGACTTACTACATGATTTGCTGTGTGATAGTTTGTTCCACTGAGTAGGATGATTAATGGTTGTGGGTTTAGGGGGAGGCAGGGAAGAGTATCAGGACTGTGTGGTGGCAGTACTGGCTGAACCTGGAACATCATTGTGACTTAGGTCTGCCTAGTGGTCTCTTGATGAGTGACTAAATTTTTTTCCCCTCACTAGAGCTGTAAACACCAAGACAAAGTGATATATTCTACCAAAGCAGCAGTGTTCTGTATGTGATTTTCAGAAATTCCTGGTACTGTGAGTGGGTGATGAATCTCAGCTGACATAATGACTTGCTTTGTCTGAAACGTAGCAGAGAAAGTTACTAATCTGATGCCCTTGTATCACTTTAATCTTCCAAGTGTTTTGTAGTATTGCCTAACCATAGTTATGTAGCTTATAAGGTAAATTAAATGAAACACTGATGTAGCAGATTTCTAGACTGGTAACAGATGCCTCCTATGTTAGGAAACATGACTGCTTTTAGCTTAAATATGGGGAAGGTTTCTGTGTCGCCCTGGGTGAATGGCTTGGTCTTTTTGTTTATAAGGTTAACTGAAAAAATAAGACACACCTACACTTCAGATTTATTATGTCAGAATGTCACTCCCACAGCACTAGTGATTATATTCCTCCGTATGGTGTTGATGGTACATCAAGAATAACCCAAAAGACTGCTTATGAGGATAATCAAAGAGAGTCAAATCTGCTCTTAATATTGGCAGATGTTTCAGAAGGTAACATCTGTCTTGGGAGCCATGTGGTGTTACAGCAGAGCTTATTTCAACAAGGAACTAGGTAGTCCAAGGTACCCTGTCACTTCAGAGCATTAAAAAAACCCAACACGTAGCATTTTAAAAAATTTCGCTTTTTCATTCTGGGACAATATTGATTGATATTGACTGGGGCATCTTGCCAGCTGTGTGGGGAAGCTGAGAGAAAAGTCTTACGAGCTGGTAGTCAAACTGATGAAGTAGGTGGGGAATGGTGAAGTAAGGCTTACTTCAGTGTTCTTATTCCTGTGAATAGTTAGCTGAATTTGGGACTTAAATACATCGAGCAGGTAGAGGGTTGACATGTGGAACTGCTTCTTGACTGTCAAAGGCAGCACTCAGGAGGTCAGTTCTCTAGAATATGAGGGCTGTGCGAGTGCTTTGTTTTCAGTGCTCCAGCACTCTATTTAACAGCTTGTCCTTTGTTTTTTCAATATGCTTGGCATTTCTGCAGAGGTGGTTTAGATATACTCTGAAGAGCTTTAGTTCTCTGAAATACTTGAGCAACACTTGTAGTTGAACCTTATCTCTAGTGTATGTAAGGAAGCTAGAATACTGAACTCTGCAGAGCAGATCCGCTGTTAATGGTGGGGGTTTTGTTCTTGAGAATAGAACCTCTTACAGGTTACAGATTTGGTAAAGAAAGAGTGCAACAGCTTATTGTATTTAGCAGTCTGTAGACACTGAAGTTTTCCAGGTAGCCACTCCAAACGTCTTGCTTGCTGGATTGTTGGACGTGCAATCCACAGGGTGAGCGTTCAGGCTTTGGCTTAGGTCCAAGCAGCTATCTGTTTAAGTAAAATGGTTTGGAAGGATTGAAAAAGTGGATTAATATCAACTTGTTGATGCAGATCTTCCTAAGCTAACTGTACAGCTAGCTTCCTTTTTGGGTGTCCCTCCCTGTTATTATCTTCTTATCTTAAAGAAGATAGTATTATTAAGCAACATGTTTAGAGAGGGTTTAGACTCAACAGAAGTTCCTGAGCTGACTTTAAGCATACCTCTGAATTGCATACAGTACAGTTAATATAATCCCCGTCTCAAAAGAGCAAAAGAGATCTGGGAAAAAATACTTTATTCTTAAAATTCCTTGCTGCCTAATTCTTTTTACCCTTTCTCTTCAGTGCAGACGCTGTGCTACAGAAGATGCACTATTACCGATATTCTAATGCAGAAGTCAGCTGTTGGTACAAATACCTCCTCTTCAGCTACAACATTATCTTCTGGGTGAGTACAAAATATACTGAAATAGTGTTACTAACTTGCTGTATATTTCCTAAAGAGGACTGGCTGTAATATTTCCCCGAAAGCAGAAAGCTGGTGTATGCTAAGTCCCAGGTGTTTTGGAATTGGAGCAGCTTCTACCATATGGGAAAGTAATTATTATTTAAAACTATATGGATAATTATTCCTCACAATCTATCCCTTTTTTTGTCCCTTCCTTGTTATCTTACATTCTGAATGAAGATAAGGGAATGAAGCAGATAAAACTAGTTTGTTTTTTTTTTAATGGAGAAAGGAAAAATCTAATTAAAGGAGTTGTCAAAATAAAATAGTATAGTCTCTTGTTGCTGCAAGGCCTCATCTTTTGAATGATGGAGGCCATTAAATGCTGTTTATTTGGGCAAATGTTAGAGCTACCTTTGTAAGTGCAATTAAGTGGTATGTTAAGTTGCTTCCCTGTTAGGAAAACTCTCTTCTAATACCTTCCTTTGCATAATCTGATCTCTGTGTTGGGGTGGTATAGCTGTAAATACTGTGCATAAGAGAAGAAAGGAACTGCTCCAGGGATGTGTCAACAGCTGATGTTACAACATAGTCAAGATCTTAAATGTAGTGCTCTTTGGGTAGCAAAATTGTTTGGTACTGTCTTGAAATACTTAGCTAGGAACTAGCTTGCCTATAGTGTTTGCTTAGAATTGTCAATGTTGAAAAGGGGTTCAAAACCAGGTATGTGGTTTTAGATGTGCAAGTTCACTGAAGCACCTAACTGCCTTGAATAAGAAGGTGATTCAAAGGTTAGTGCATAGGCATTGCATTGGAAGTAGTTAAGATATCTGTGAGGAGGAGATGAAGGTAAGGATGCAGTTCAGATAAACTTGATAATTCTTTTCATAACTTGCATGGCAATTGTTAGGAGTTCACACCTGAAGTAATGGAAATTGCTGTAGTAGAAAGGCATGGATAGTCATGGAGAAGTGCAGATAGACTGAACTTTGTGGTACCAGCAGCTTGGATTGCTGTTCTGATGCAGAGTTGAAATATTTCTTAGCATGTTTGGTTTTTTTTCAAAGCCAAAGGGTTCAGATAGTAAAGAATGGAGGTATGGTATGAAGAAAATTAAGAGTTAAAATTGATTCTCCTGATCCTGACTTGCCTGAGATCAGTAGGTGTGCTAGAGAAGACCATATTAATTCTACTTGTTTGTTGTGATTCCTTAAACCATGTATACTTTTTGTTACCTAAAATTTAAGGTATACGGAATTATTACCCAAAATTGTATTTAACTTCAGCAAAAAAATGGGATTTAGTGTCTGAACATGAATTGCAGGATGCAGGATCTTGTTTTACTTCTTAATAATTACTTGGTATTTTGCTTGATTAACCCACATAAACTTTTGGTAAACTAGGTTGGTGTTTCTGCATGTTTTGACTGTTTTGGCAGTATTTAAGGTAGAAAATAAGCTTTTTTGAAAGCTGCATGTTTGATGGACAACTCTGAATTAATTTAGAAATGTAGAACAGTCTAGGCTTGATGGAACTTCTCAAAGTCATTTGGCCCGGTTTTCTATTGAAAGCAAGACCTGTAGGGTAGAAAAGAGCTGCTCAAAGGGAAAAGCTGGAAGTCTTGTGAGCTGCTTGCTCATCAATTTTCTGCTGTCTCCAGCCTAATAAACATCTTAAAGGACCAGGAAATAGTGAGACTGCAATGTCTGGCTATTGGTGTTGAAAACCACAGAACTTCTGCGACTCTTGACACGTTTTGTTAACTGTGCAATGTTTTCACATATAGTACTCACCTGTAGCATTTTCTGTAGTATTAAGCCACAGAGGAGTTTATTCTTGTGTGGATAACAGAGCATAAAATCTGTCAGTGGTTTGTGTGGAAACCAGTAAGGGTTAATTTGCCACAGTGTTGCCATAGTTCTTTAGTGATGCTTTTTTTCCTGTCACAACTGAGGATTCTTATAATGTCCTCGTGTTTAAGTATGTGCTTAAAGGCCACCAGCTCCGTAGTTATTTTTCTTCTATTATAGTACAACTTATGTGTACCTGTAATGGAGTGTGGTGCAAAGAGAAGTAGTACTCATCAAGCTGTTCTGGTTTTCAGATAAATAGCTTTGTAACTGCATGGATGCTTTTCAGCAGTTAGTGTGGGGTATATGTGAGAAATGGTCACTCTTTTGTTAATGAATAAATTAGGATTGTTGTGGACCTCTACTTTTTGGTGAGTGCCTCATGAAATGAGCTCTATTACTGTTTTTTATGGGTAAACAACCTTTGAAAAACTGAATTTTTTTTTGTCTTTACTATCAAGTATTTGCCTCTGCTTGTTCGCAGGATTTAATTTTATATTTTTCTGTTTCTTTGTTTTTTATTCACTGCGGAGTCATTACATTGCACTTCTTTCAAATTTCTTTTTTTTCTGCATTCTCTTGAAATTAATGATGAAGATCCAAGGGTAGTTTTTCATTTCCTGAGAAATATTTTTAAGGAAGATACACAGAAAAGTTGAGGAAAATTTGAAATACAGCTTGTGTGTTTCAGCTGGGCTTTTGACCAGAGGAACTGGTTTTCTAAACAGGTGCTAGTAGTCTTGGTAGCTTGCTCAGTGAATGGTCTGAGGCTTCTGCTGAGAAGTTACTATCAGGGTGGACTAGTGAGTTATGTTTAAGTACAGCTCTTTGATAAGTTTGGCACCTTTAGTTGTGAAACAAGCTATGTAAATGTTGAGTGGGAGACTAGACACTTCTATAGGCAATGCATGGATCATTTAGTTCTGATTTAGGACCCTATGACATCTGGCTGGGACGACTAGTCTAACAGTCTCTTTAATTCGACAAATCCATAGTGTGTAGAACGAAGTACACTTTCTACGTGCCTTAAGAAAACTTAAGGACTACAAAATCAGAAGGGAAGTGTAGCCATGACTTGGAAAAGCAGTGTTTAAGGAGGAAATGGATTCATTTTTCTTGGCTGGCAGTACAGGTGCTTGTGTGAGCTTGTTATGTGAGTGTGCAGACAACCGTTTGCCCGTTTAAGCTGATACTAGAGGTTTGATGGTAGCTCACTATCAAACTTACATCTCAACTTACTACACACTTTATTCAATAGCCAGGTAATTTGCATGTAAAAGAGATGGATTTGTTCTTCTGTCACTCTTAAAGATCCCTGTAGACTTGCCCGATTTAGCTCTAAAGGTAGTATCAGTAACTGTATAAACTTTGATGTTAGATCATGTAATGACAGTGAATAGTTTACAGAATATTTACATTTTTTAGTGGGTAGCTACTTCAGTTTGTGTCATGTTCCAAATACAGTTTGTATAAATTAGGGTGAAACAAAATATTGAACTCAAAGATGACAGATATGACTATTTTAATAATAGCAAGCTCAGTTTAAACAGCTTTTAGAAATACATAAATCTTCTTTCTTCGGAAGTTTTTTTTCTGACGGACAACTTGGCAATAGAAGGTTCAGTTCTAATGACGTTGAATCAGTTGTGGGTGGCTGGTTTGCAAAAATATTTTTTCTATTCTTTGTGCTTGGCTTTCCCATGTAAGAAAGGGAATGGAGGTCATAGGAAGGCTTTATCTTCCTAGGCATTATTTTAATGTGAGGTTACTTTATTTTCATCTTGCTTTTTAAGCATGGTAAGAAGTTTTAACTTCTGTAAGTATACTTGTTTTAATAAGTAGTGATGAGGTAGTAATACAAACATAAAGAGCCATTAAGTGCTCAGAAGTTTAAGAGAAATTACCCCTTTGCAGCAAGACTGGACCTCTTTCAAAGCTTGTGTGTGTGTGTGAAATAGCTTCATTTGTCATACTGAAATTAAAAGTCTGCAGTAATACAAGGTGAAGAGCTTGGTTCTGGTATCTTTCTGTTCTTAGTCATTTTGCATTTGAGTACTTCTGTGAAAGCCCCAGCAGAGGCAGGAGTCAGGGGGTGGACAGCTAATCTCAGGGGCAGTGCAGGGGTGCCCTGTCTTGGGGTGCAGCAGTACTCTGACTTCTAACCTGGATTTGGGAGAGCCTGGGTGGTAAAAGGATGTACCCCAGTCACTTGTCTCTGGTGCTTGTCTCTTTGTCTCTACTTGAAGGATTTTTTGGGGTAGTCCATGAATGGCACCTCAGCCAGTGAAGTAAAGGATTACATATGTGCTCTGCCAAAGCATTTGAAGTTGCATGAGCTCAGTATCTCTCAGATGAAGCGAGAGGAAAGGGTAAGTAGCTTTTAGGTGCTGTCATCTTTGTTTATCTTCTAACGCTCTGTAGCTTTGGGTGTGGCTTTTAATGGTTTTTGGAGAAAAAAAAAACAACTTTTCACTCATGCTGTAGGAGACGTGGCATTTTTGCCCAGAACGTGCTGATAAATTAGGTGCAGACATTCTCTTAAGGTCTAGAAAAAAATTCTGAGGTAATATTTGAGAAGTAAGACAAGACCGAAGCTAGCATAACATTTTTTTTGGCTTTTGCACCATATGTTGTTTTTCAGGAACATCTAAAACAGCAATGCTGTGCCAGGAAGATGAAAGATTACACCACCAGGTGGTTTCCTGACCCTGAGAGGAAAAGTCTGGGAAGAGACAAGGGTAGGAAGGAAGGGCTGTAGGCTGCTGATTACTCTGCCATGGGTGGAGCTACAATGTAAAATAGGATTGTACAGAGGATGAAAAAAATGTTTGCTGTAGCAGTAATATCTTGTGCTTACAAAAACTGAGTACAGTAGGAATGCATTCCCATTGCTTCTAATAGGACTGTGAGGCAGGCTGACCCAAAATTAGTTGGTGTGCAAGGGTTGTCTTGCAAGAATTATGTTTAGCTGCAACCTGGAATTGAGAAACAAATTAAACTTGTTTATTGGTTGGAAGAGTGATTCCAGTAGCATAGTCAAAGTAATTCCACGTGTGGTTGGGAGTGGATAATTCTTAAGCTAGATGTAATTGTGCATGGTGTCTTGGGGTTGATGTCAGTATTGCGTGTCAACTGAGCACAGCTTACAGCTCTATGCAATATGTTAATAATGTGTATTTTTAAGTTCTAAAGCAGGAAATGACCAAGTGCTGGTTACTAGTTGTAGTTTCCTGCTCAAAGGAGTACAGTCGAGCTGCTCTGTGTAAGTTTCCATCTAACCTTTCATGCAGGATATGGATTACATAACTCTTCAGTGTAGAAGCAAGTTGGGTCATCCAGTTAGTTCTTGCTTGTGTGTCATCCCGATTCTGGTGAAAGGCAGATTTCCAAATGTCTCTCAGTTGAAACAGAGACACAAGCTCACCCCGGGGAACACTTTTGGTTAGCGCTCGTACTTCTCAGCTGTCCTCCCATTTGCATGGCCCAGAAATTCAGGGAGCTGATGAAAGTGAAAACTTTCTGAGTTTAGGCTGATCCCTGGTCTGCCTGATAGCAGTCACTTGAATACCTCTTTGCTAGAGTGTTGAAGAGGAGGCTCTTTTCCTGATGCTAATTCACTGTAAAAATCTGTATTGGATGTACTCAATCATGCTAACTTCTGAGGTAGTTCTATCACCATGGTTTTACAATAGTTTTCAAGTAGATTCTTTATCTTGCAAGTGGAATGTAAAGCAAATAAAGCTCACTAGGTTTAATAACTGTGATTTTACTTCCTTGCAAATTAGTTGTTGTGGTAATTGTGCCCGTAAATGTAGTGGCTGATGGCTTTGTTTTTTCTGCAAGTACATCATACTCCACTGTTATGGTTTTTTATGTTGAAGAAACCTAATGCATGTGGCTTGGCTGCTTCTAGTGAAAATTATGAATCACTTGAGTCTTAGCTGAATTATGTTTTGGATTTAACCACTTTGATTCTGTGACACTAAATTTATTTTTCTGCTGTTAAACTACCTTTAGATAGTTTGCATAGGTGTTCATGGAAGTAGCTTTGCAAAAATAGTGTGGTTTTGTGAAACTGAACACTATAGAGAGAACAATGTTTGTATTCAGAGGTGAGGATGAAGCATGCTAGTGGAAAATCTAGTTAATCAAGAATCTATTGCAATTTAATTAAATTGATAATTATCATGAAAGGCAGCCAGTCTGAAGAGGACACCCTATTTGTGTATTTAATAGCACTGTATTAATGTTAAACAAACTAGTTTGTATACAAAATGCATAAGATACACATCCTCCCAATTCTTTTTTTCCTCATTTATTGAGAAAATGTTTCTAAAGATCTAGCTCTGTCTACTGTGTTCCTTACTCTGGTAATTGGAAATTACACCAGCTGTCTTCACCTCTTGTCCAGCAGTCGTAGAGCTTTTGGAATGAGAAAAGGTGAAGGATGTATCAATTGCATGCAGTGTGTAGTGTAATGACATATCAGTTTGATACTTTATTTATTATTTTTTAAAAACTATTTTGCTTCTTCATCTGAAAATCACAACATTAAGACTTAGGGGTAATCTGAGTTAATATTCTGTTCATATCCATGTGGTTTTTAATAGAATTTTTAAAGTTGTCCTTTGATCTAAATCACCACTTCAAATTTCCTCAGCTTATACAGAGTCTGAGAAAAGTAGTTGTTATGCTGTTGATTATTAAGCGACATCTGGAAATTGAACTTAGCACTGCTTTGCCCAGTTGCAACTCTTTTCATGTGTTAGTAATTGATTTGGTTGGTTAACCTGTGCGCTTAAGCCATAAATCATGACCTAACACTTCATGCCTGGACAGAGCTTCACATAATTTGAGTAACTTTTAGAGAATGGTATGAATGACACTTGTAGCCTTTTTTGACTTTCCTTTCTCCCAATCCCTCCAGCAGAGCAAACTGCATTTGTCCTGAGTGCAGTTTAGGGTCAGGAGGCAGTGGACCCATCAGTACTTAAAATCTACACATCTATTTTCTTGTGTAACTGTAAGAGGGTGCCATTTTTCTTCCTTGCCTGTGCTTGTGGGGTATTTCCTGTGATACTGGTTTAGTTCATGGAACGTGCTGCATTTCCTAGGGGAAACACCTTTTTCAAGGTGTTTTTTGTTACTGGGTTTTACTTGTCAATGTGTGTAAGGCTCAGGGGTGGGAAGCAACCTCAGTCCTTCATATGCCCCTAAAGCATAATATCTACATGCATTTTAAATACCTCCACTGCAACCTGTTCCAGTGCTTGACAGCCCTTTTCATGAAGGAATTATTTCTAATATCTAGTCAAAAACCTCCCCTGGTGCAACTTTGAGGCTGTTTCCTCTTTCCTTTCACTTGTTACCTGGGAGAAGAGACCAACCCCTGCCTTGTTAGTCTCCTTTCGGGTAGCTGTAGAGAGAGTCATAAGGTCTCCCCTCAGCCTCCTTTTCTCCCGACTAGACAAGCCCAGTTCCCTTATTTGCTTTTTATAGGATTTGCTTTCCAGGTGCTTCAGCAGCTTTGCTGCTCCTCTCTGGACATGCTCCAGCACCTCAGTGTCTTTTAAGGGTGTATGAACATTGCAGGGTAGAATGTAATTTTAAGTAATTACAGGGAGCTGCCCTCAGATTGTAGAGAGGTCATTTTAACCTGATTATTGAAATTGGATATTAAAGACAAACTGCCTGAGAATGGAGAATGGGAATAAATTACTAGAACAAGAAACTTCTGCTTCATGTGGATTGATGTAATTAGGAGTATTTATTATATACACATAGGAATTTGGTGTAGGGTTTGCACATTGTCACTTAGATTTGTTGCTTATTGAAAGTGGATGGACCATTACTTCAGCTTAATTTATAAAAGCTTAAGCAAGGTAAGGTTTCAGAAGACAAAGTGTATCTAATTAGAGAAGAGGGTAATGTAATGAGCCTTGACACTGAGAAGTTATGAAAAGTCAAGCATGGCTACTGTCTGGGAGTGGTACTATACAATGACTAAATAGGGAATAGACTCAAAATGTACTAAATATTCTGAAATCTTCATTAGTGTGCAGGCAGAAGGTTTAGAGCAAGTCACTAGGACAAGGATAACTCCCACCTGCTTGCAGCTGTGGAACAGTTAATTTAGTACTGTGTGCTTCTTGAGTAATCATGAATAATCTAATTGAAATGCTCTAAAGTAGTTTATAAGATGCAAGAATGCTGTGGAATAAAAGCACTTTAATTTCTTTTTGCGTGACGTTGACTCATGGGAAGATGTCGAACTGCTATTGTCTGATACTAAAGGCAGTGTTTGTTTTACTTGAGCAACATGCTACTGGCTAACTGTTTTAGAATCATTGAATTCTGTATCTAATTCTTTTGTTTTGTTTTTGTTTTAGCTAGCTGGGGTGGCCTTTCTTGCAGCTGGTCTGTGGGCATGGAGTGAGAAGGTAAGTGTAGAAGTGACTGGTCTTTGTTTTGTGGCTGCCCTCCCCTGCCTCCTGCCCCAGTAAAACTACTTTCTCAGGAAAGGCAGCCAAGGTTAAATGTAGCATCTGAGCTCAGGACTATTCAAATGATCTAAAGGGAATTTAGTTGGAGTTCCATTCTTATCTGTGATCAGGTGTTTAGCTGTAGCCCTTGATGTTTAGGCCTTTTTTAAAAAGGTTTCTGGGGAGAGTTTAAATTTAATGAATAGTCCTTACGAACTTGGTTGTCTTTTGAAAATGTGTTTTTAAAAATGCACTTATCTGGCCACCTCTAAAACAGTATTTGGAAGGAATGTAAAAGATCTCTCTTTTTATATTAAAAAAAAAAAAAAAAAGTATTTGAGACAGTCTTTCTCAAGTATTCCACTCTTCAGGCCATCTCTTCTGCTTTTCTCTGCATTGAATTAGCCTAGCTAATCTTGGTATGTGTTTCTTGATTGTGGGATCTAAGCCAAAGCATGATTAGATGAGACTTTCATAATTAATTCAGTACACCGTTTGATAGTTAGATGTGAGGTCTTGGTAAGAATGGAAGTGTGTCACTGGTAACACTAACTAGAAAAGTCTGTTACCCAAGGCTTTCTGAATGCTGAGAAATGTATAAACCATGTCCACTCTTTAACAGGCTATTTCAGTTGTTACTCACCAGCTATTGCAAGGCAATTCCAAATTCTACAGTTCAATTATTTTTTTTTCCTTTCCATCCTTTCAATCAGTTTTGATAAAAGCAGTTTGGTTGTCTTGCTGTTGCTGGATTAACAACCCTAACGAGATCTGTTATGGAACACATGAAAGAAGATGAACTGCTGCATATCACTACAGTGCTGTTAATCAGTGTCTTTGCAATAAGACGATGAAGTTTCTCTGTGTGAATTTTTTTCTAATGTTGTGTTTTGAAGACATTATTTTTGTTAAGTAAGCTCTTAAATGCTAAGTGATATGGGTTTTTTCCAAGGTATTCTCTTAGGATGTATTTTATTTGCACTAAACTCTAGCACAAATACCTGAGTAGCAAGATAAAAATCTACATTCACTAGACTGCTTATCTGAATGACTTTACAAGTCTCTCTGATATCTTTCTCATGCACTAAATGTAGTTAGCCTAAGATTATACTTCATAAAGAGAAACCAGAAGATAGTAAACATGTAATTATGGGGTATTATACTGTGTTGATTTTTGTTACTTCACTGTTTTAAGGGGTAAGTATGTCCTTATTGAAGATGTTCTGTATACTGCTGATAAGTGTATAATAAACACTCATACTATTGGAAGGCTGCCTCGATGTCCCTACAAATTGTTAACTTGAAGAGTTTCTGTTGTTTGTCCAATCTGTTCTCTGCATGTTGCATCTTGTTCATGCATTTTACTTGAGAAGCCTGTATTTTATCATCCCTGGAAATGGTCTTGTCCCTGGACATGTTAAGGCCAGATTGGTCAACGTGGTCTAGTGGGCAGGAAGGGACATCTCTGCACCAGGACACTGGCACAGCCCCATGTCATCTGCCAATCTGTTCAGAGTTTGGTGATGAAGAGTTGACCTGTGGAGAGCTGGTGGTAGAGGGTTGTCTTAGACCCCTAGTGTAGGTGTCTCTGCCCATGCAGGGGGGTTGGAACTAGTTGATTGTTAATGCCCCTTCCAAACCAAACTATTATATGATTCTATATGTTTATGATGGAATTTTGGTGGTAGCTTGTATAAAAACTAAAGTTTGCTTAAAACCTAATCTAGAGGTAGGGACTTCACTGTGTTAGCATTACTTTTGCACAGACTTAGAAATTCTGTCCTAAGATCTGGTCAGACAGGCTTAATAAGTAAGGTTATTGTGATTCTTTCATTATCAAGATATATGGTGTCTCTGGATGGTTAACAAAAAATTAATTATATTGTTTCTAAATTAGGCAAATTGCAAGTTTTCCCTTGAAAACCAAAACATTTTGTTCCACTCCCTTAAAATGTCACCCATAACCTGCTTTCTAGTTAGAATATTTCTGCCTTTCTGTCACCTAAATAATGGGATTGGAAAAAATATTTTCTCTAAGTTGTTTAGAGACTTTGAAATAGGAAATGCCCTTGTGATTGATATATTTCAAGTTAATGTAAGGTATTAGTTTTTTTGCCTTAAAACAAAATTAATATTCAGTGATGATATTGAACTTTTGGCTCCATCTTGTGGAAGCTTGTTTGGCAAATAGATCTAGGAAAATGTAATCTGAGAAGCTGACTGCACTGGGTTTACTTATTAAAATAATTAATAGCTATAACTTTGCACTAATACTTTCTCTGCTAGGGTGAAGGAAATTGGTATCATCAACCATTTTACAACATGACTTCTGTGTGGGTTGATGTTGCCAAGCTCAAGGGTTTGCTACCAATTCGTTCAGAATCATGTGGAAGTCATGGACTTCAAAAAGGAATGTTGAATAAAAAGCATCCTTATAGTAGTCTCCCTTGAGCATGCCTTTTCTCTTGCAGGGTGTTTTGTCTGACCTGACGAAGGTGACTGGTCTTCATGGTCTGGATCCAGTGGTGCTTGTCTTAATGGTGGGAATAGTGATGTTTACTTTGGGATTTGCAGGTTGTGTAGGAGCACTAAGAGAAAACATCTGCCTTCTGAAGTTTGTAAGTAACGTCATTATATAACTGGATTATCAAGTGTGTGAAAACTGGGAATGATGGGCGAAGAGCTAGTAGCAAGCCCAGATAATTATTTTACAGAATTCAGTTTGTAACAACGTATATGGCAGTCTTGCTCCTGATGAGCCTCTGAGTAATGATATTAAAAGCAGTGTAGGTTCAAATCTGTGTATATTTTCCCCTTTTTGGAAAACATTCCTTTACCTTTTCAATAATTTTGCTGTAAAACATTATACGGTGGCGTTAAGGTACGTGTATCAGAATATAACATTGTGCATATAATATCACAAGGCAGGATGTGCTGGAATGTATTCAGTGAGTTAGGAGTTACTGAGAAATGTTACAGTGGCTTAGGGTGAACAGAATCCCTTAAAAACTTAAAAATTTTATTCTAATAGGTTGGTGAGGAAAACTTGGGGATTTCGGTGAATGATGTGAAATCTAGGATGGTTGTTGTTATACTGAGGCTGTTTCTTTGCTTTGGATCTGAAAACAGTTAAGCTGGACAAAAAATATAAAGTTGGAAACCATTCAAGAAGTAACCGCAAGACTACTTTAGCCCTGTGTTTTGCAGATTCTCGTTTACTAATATTTTCAGTGCTGTGCAAAATTACTGTGGTATGGTGCTTATTTTACTGACTAATTCAGGTGACCAAAATAAGACGATAACTGCCACTTGGGCGTTTCTTTGTCGTGTTCTCTTTTAATGGGCTGTGTTATCACAGTATCTGTACTGAGAACGTTAACCTAATTCTCTGTGTCTATTTCTGGTGGACTTGGAGTAGGGACGCATTCAAAATAAATGGGTGTTTTCTAATTTGGGACTTTTTTTCCCGTTTTTTTCTTTTTTCCAGTTCTGTGGAGCCATTGTGTTTATATTTCTGCTGGAGCTGGCAGTGGCAGTTCTGGCTTTCCTTTTCCAGGACTGGGTAAGGGACAGGGTCAAGGAATTCTTCGAGAATAATATTAAATCCTACCGAGACGATATTGACCTCCAGAACCTCATTGATTCACTGCAAAAAATTGTAAGTTCATATCCTGACATTTCTTTCATGCATTCTAGGAGAATATGACGGTTTGGAAGTCTTCCTTTTTGTTGCAGAGCTATCGTATTCTGTGGCTAATAGTAGTCATCTTACAGATGTCATCTTGCACGTGTTGTTTTGCTCTTTCTGCATTGAAAGCATCAGGGAGGCAAGTTATTCTGAGATAGTGCTGTTCTAATTGTGAATGTAGAAACTCTTCCAAGCAGCTTTTTGACTTTCTAGGCTTGCACCCCTGTTCTGATCAGTGTTGCACTGGTTTAAGTGAGAAGTAAACATGAAACCTCTGAACCTATTTATCTTGAAAAATATTGTACAATGGAACTGGTAGTCTGTACTCTTTATTTTGGGCAGCGGTGTGGGATACCTGTTTGGTCAACTGTGTATTACCAGCAGCTTACCTATCCTGTTCATTCACTCTTGTGTGCATTGGGGCACTGGGTGCAAACTGGAACATAGGAGGTTCCCTGTAAACATCAGAAAAAATTTCTCTACTGTGAGAGCGACAGCACTGGAACAGGCTGCCCAGAGAGGCTGTGGAGTCTCCTTCTCTGGAGGTGTTCAAAACCCGCCTGGACATGTTCCTGTGTGATGTGCTCTGGGTGCTTCTGCTCTGGCAGGGGGGTTGGACTAGATGGTCTTTCAAGGTCCCTTCCAACCCCTAAGATTCTGTGATTCTGTCATATTGAAACATCCTCTAACTAAGCTGCCTGGATGGATTTCAGTGCTGTTTTGCTTTAGCTTTTAGTACTAAGGACACTTTTTTTGTAAGGTGAGGCTCGTCCTGGCCATGGAGGAAGCCAGTAATTGTCTCAGCCTTGTCCACTCTGTTCTTGGTCTTTCTTTGTATCTCATTTCAGTGCAGTCAACCAGGCTAACAGGCTAAGCTGATTTACAGTTGAACTCCAATTAAGTACTTTTCAAAGAAAATAAAAGGCTGAACTGACTAAAAGGAGTTCAGTAGCCAGATTGACAAGCTAATAAACCTGTAAAAGGAAAGACCAGAAAAAATCACTGAATCAGCCTGTCATTGATCCATACCTGAAAGTGCTGAGGAAGGAGGAGTACGCAGTGTGGATTAGCAAGGCTTGAGCAGCGAGGTGCATCGGTGTGTTCCAATGCCTTGCTGAAGCTCATCTTCTAAGGAGCTATGCTCCTTAGGCTGACTTGCTCTGTTTTGTGTAGGCCTTGGGACCTAGTGAGCTTTTTGTAGGCAGCTTCTTGCTCTGGCTAATTAAGTTATTTTCAGGCCTGTAAGTGACCTCATAGTCTGTACCTTACTCAGGCAGATTAGCCTGTTAAGTGGTTATCTGGCTTTTTACAAAGGTGTAAATGTGTGAGGGAGAAGGGACTAGAAAGACAAAAATGAGCCTCTCTTGCTTTATTCATGGTACATGTGTTAGTATTTTTTTTTTCTTGGAGTTTTTTCTATTCTGGCCATTCTATTCTGATCTGTTTAGTCCTGGTTCCTGCAAAAACTGTGTAAACAATTCTGTCTATTCACATCTGTCTGTCACAACTCGATAACTTCTGAATCTGTGTACTGACTTGTATAAACTGTTTTGTTGTACCATTTATAGATGTACACTGATTGTATCTAGCAATTATATGTAAAGTGATAATTTTTGTTATTTTGCTTGTCATGCTGACGTCTATTTCCAGGAGCAGTATTCCAGATGTGTTGCTTTGGCTTCATAGAACCACAGTATTGATTACTCATTTTTTATTTTGATGTTACTATTGATTCTGTACAGCCTTAGAGAAAGTGATGATGATGAACAAGTATTATTCCAGAGAGTTTTTTCAGTGGATACATGGTCTCTCAAATAGGCTCAAGTGCTACGTGTTGGTTTCTTTATTGCAGAACCATTGCTGTGGTGCCCAAGGTCCAGATGACTGGGACTTTAACATATACTTCAACTGCAGCAGTGAAAGCAAAAGTCGTGAGAAGTGTGGCGTTCCTTTTTCCTGTTGTATCCCTGATCCTGCTGTAAGTTGTTTCCTGGCTTTGTATTGCTCTGGTGTTGTTGAAGAGTTGGGAGAGGAAGTACTGCCTGAATAAGATGTGATGACTGGGCCTTTAGAAATTCTTCTAAATTATCACAAATTGCTTTTGCGCAGACAAACTTTTCGTGTTTCTTTTCTATCCTTCTTAGAATCCAAATGTGGCAACCTCTAATACACCTGAAAATGTATTGTCATGAGAAATTAAATCTATTTTTGTATAGCCTGAGTCTGCAAGTGTTCATGTCTGATACTGTTTTAGTCCCAGCGCATTGTTTCGTAGCATTCCTGGCCTCTGTTACCTACCTTGTAAGGACCTGGGAGCACCTTCTAAGCAATGTGTTTGCCCCTGTTAGAATTAATGTTACACCACCGTTTGCCAGACAAGTAGGAGTAACTCTCTATTTGCTGATTGTTTATTACTAACTATTAAAGTGCTTTTTCCCAAACTCAGTTTAAAGCATTTGAGTCAATTCTCTTTTTTTGGGAAGAGTTTGTTGCTTCTTGGTTAGATCTGTTTGCTAAACTTCAGGAAATATGACCCTTTCAGTGGAAGCCAAAATGAAGAGACAGGAACTAATGTATAATGCTTCACAGTATTAGTGAGAATAGTTACGGCTCAAAGTCAGTCCAGCAAAACTTGTGTGGAGCAGATAGTGTGGCCTGCCAATGGCTAAGGCTTTGATTCGCTTGGAAATCAGCCAAGAAAAGACTTTGTCAGGGATGTAGTCAATGTTCATGTTCCCTGGTAATTATTTTGAACTTTAATTTGGAGCAGTACTATTCACTGCAACTTTCTGTTGCTCATTCATTGTTTTAAGAGACATAAATATTCTAATGTTTTTAATATAAGATTCTATTCCTTGTGCTTCAATATAACTCACTATGCATTGTGTAAATTATGATAGAGTTTTGTAATACATACATTTTCAAAAGTCTCGTACAGAGAAAATGTCATAAAAGGACTGTCTGCATATTGAGAGAAACACTGTCATTGGATTGTGAGGGGTTTTGATCTGGAAGGTGTTTATGGTCTTTCTACTTGGCATTTGCAGCTGGAGTGTCTTGTCTTCAAAACTAGATATATCTTGGAGCTGGGTTATGTGTGAGATTTTGCACTATCAACTGAGGGGGCTTTAGTAGCTTGCAGCTGTTACTTAACTGATTGTGGTAGCAAATTGTATATCACTTGAAATAATGGAACTGTAAGGCATATTTCTCTACTGCAGGTGCAAATAGATCAGCCTGATACTTTTATCGTTACCTATATTTAGGTGTTACGTGAAATAGTAACATAAAACTGATCTTGGAAATGTAGATGTGTTACCTGTGTGCTGGCAGTACAGTTACTACACTTCATGTATGAATAATCCTTGATAGTATAAAGCCAAGCGTTAGAAGAAGCTTGGATTTCTGGTAGGAGATGTTTTTCTGCTAGTATACACCTTTGCTTTATAATTACTTTTTTATGTTCAGCTAGTGCTTTTCTCCTTTTTACTAAAAAAGCTTCTTAAAACAATCTAACAATCCTGATTTGTTTGTGAATCTAAAAGACAAAAACATTTGTGAACAGAAGTGAGTAGAATTTGATTGATCTTAAGTCTTTGTTTTGCAGCAAAAAGTTGTGAATACACAGTGTGGCTATGATATCAGGAAGAAGGTAAGGTGCTGGGATCCTGCTGTCTTCATGTTCTCTGCCTATATTGGCAAAACAGTGGAATTGCTGGTAGATTCAACAGCATAAATTCTGGGAAGTAATTGACTGTACTACATCACAAGTAGAGTGTGGTAGAGATTGTTCTTTATTTAAAGTAAGCTTGTACTGTGGGAGGGTGGATAAAACAAGTGATGGAAGAGGCATAGGGAAAGCTGTGTTTCAAGAAGGAGTAGGACTTGAGTTTCAAATGTGCATTTCAATTATTAGTTCTAGTAGTCTCTGAATTCTATGATCTGCTAATTCTAAAGTACTGCAGTAATAGGATTTGCAAGAAGATATTAGCATCAATGTCCAGCATTCTCTTATCTAATCCAGGCATACATATATATTCTGTGGGGTTAAAAACATTGCTGCGTAAGTGACAGATCATTAGTGTAGCTGTATCGTGTGATTGACTAATCTTAAAATAAACATTAGCAGAAAAGTAATATATCTTATTCTTCCTTTCTACGTTCAGAGCAAGAATGAATGGGATGATCAGATTTTTGTCAAAGGATGTATTGTTGCTCTTGAAGCTTGGTTGCCCAGAAATATCTACATGGTTGCAGGTGTCTTCATAGCTATCTCACTGCTCCAGGTTAGTTGTTTTTGTTATGCTACTTTGAAAAAAGTTTTAAGTTTGCAATTACAGACTTGTTGAAGGTGAAAGTAGTTATGAAAAGAGATAAATATTTTGACACAGTGGATTTTTTCTGTATGAGAATAATGTAAAAAAATCATTACAGGGATGGGGAGATTTTCCATTTAATGGACAAATGTTGAGCACACAGTGCTGGTAAAATACCTTTTCTCAGCCATGGCAATACTACCCTCTGCTTGGCATATTGATATTTTATCCCCAATTTATGATAGTACTTTATATGGCTTTGAGAGTTGCTATCTTGAGAAAAAGACCTTCAATTAGAAAGGCAATGTTCAAGAAACGAAGTCTAATCTTTTGACAGTGTATTGACTGACAATCATTTGATGTTGTCTTTTACATTGTGAGTTTCTGTGAAACCACTTTCAATCACTTGTATTTTCAAACTGGATCTTCTTTGTGCATTAAGCTGTCATGGTGTAACTGAAAATTAGGCATAACTTGTCTACTTCTAAACCAAACCTTAGGCCTTTCCAAAACTTTGCCTCAGTCTTTTGTTGTGTTTATAAGAATGTTACAGGAAATCTGCTTAGTTATGAAATTATCTTCAATTTGTTAAGAAAGCTTTTTCCCGAGAACTTGAGTGAATGTTAAAATTTAAATGTTAATGTCTCAGAATAATCTGGGACTTTTCTCGCTACTATTTGTGACAAGAATTTCATTTTAATACAGGTGACTGCATTATATATTTTTTAAAATTATCAGAAAATTGACTGGTTTGTCAAAAGTTACGGAATGAATGAAAATGCTTGATTTGTAATTTTAGCAATAGGCAAGTGTTATAAGACTCAAGTAAACTTGGCTAAGTCAATTTCTTCCAGCTTTAGGGCATCTAGAAGCTTATCATTTTGAATGCTTCTGAAGTGTTACATGAAATAATCTTCTCATGAGTTTTATTTCCTGCAGAAGTCTGCTGCCATTATTGCTTTTTAGCAGTAGGCAGGCTTTGACAGATAGTCAAGGTTGTGAAATGTTATCTGAACCTGCAAACGCTTGATGAATGCTCATGTTCAGTCACAAGAGTAGTTGCACTCACTTCAGAAGTAGGTTCCCATTTTGTGATAATCAGTAATGGTAATAGACTTTAATTTTTAGAGACATTTTGCAGACTTGTACATTCTAAGTGTTTCATCTCACAAGCAGTTTGTTATTTTTGTCTTTTTAGATTTTTGGGATTTTCCTAGCCAGGACATTGATCTCTGATATTGAAGCTGTAAAGGCAGGTAACGCCTTTTGAATATGAAAGCAGACACATGTTGCCAAAGTATACTTTACAGTTCCTGGGGTGAACACCAAGGTGGAAGAGATGCACAGACCAAGAATCTCCTTTTATTAAAAGCCTTATGTGGATTTTACTCCACTCATGCTTTTTGTTAGAAGCTGGTATAAAAAGATCTTTGAATACACGCCTGTCTACCTTTTTTCTAACAACTTGGTGCACCAGCTTTGGTCTCTGAGGAAGAAATGGAATTTCCCAAGACATTGACAGAACAAATCTTAAAGATTGTAGCAAGGAGACGTGAAACTGCTGTAAACTCTTTCCTTGAAGGATTGCCATGAAGATTGTTCTGTTTTCACTCCCAACTCTTGCTAGTCTCAAAACATAATCTGTTCTGAAGGTGTGCTGACTTCAGAGTCTTGAAGTAATTTTAATCTCTACAAGTAGACTCATACAATGATTTTTTATTTTTTTTATTATTTTTTTTAAGATACCCAGCAACCATAATCGTCATAGTATTGGAAACTGAAAAAAAAAAAAAAGCCAGTCACAAGTTCTCTTGTTCTTTGATTTTCAGCTGTGCAGAAGTAGGGGTATTTGTTTGACTGGGAATAACAGATGTATCAGACCTTGTGCTCAGCATCAGAGAGCTTAAGTAACCCATACTATTTTGAAAATGCAGGCCTTTTCTGAAAAGGGCAAAAATCCTAACTATAGCATTATATGTTAGAAATTCCCATTTCAGGCAAGGGGATGTGAATCCCTGGTGTTATTTCCTGTCTGAAAAAAATATACATATTCTTTATTTATAGAAGAAAAAACTTCCAAAATGCTTGGCTTGTTATGGATTAGTAATAACTTTTTTAAGTACTGTCTTCAGAATTTTCAAAATGCAGTTTGCCTCAGTAGGCAGCAAGCATGCTATGCTATCTGTTGATGATTTTTGCTTTTCCTCTAGTTTCTCTCACAACTGCTATATTGATCTTCACAGTTCCTAAGTGCTAATACCAGGACTGATCAAAAACATTCAAGTTCAGCATTGATCCCTCTGCAGTCTGTTTTTTAATGAGGAAATACATGTTTAGCGAAAGACTGGAATTGTTGATTTTTTTTAATCTTCTGCACAGCTATACAATCATCCGTTCTGCTTGTATTTGGATACATGGTTCACATGCCATTCATGATGTGATGAAGCAGAATGATTTGTTCACAGTAATTTTCTGCGTCAAACTGAAACTCCCAAAGTCTATTTCTTATTTTTATCAGAAGAACACGAAACTCTTCTTCCTGCCCTTCCTTCTTGGGGGTTCAGTAGGTGGATCTGTAATTCAGTAAGAGTTCCAGTCTTCTCTAAAAGACGTTGGCATAGTATTTTAAGCTTTAAGATAGAGGCATGTGACTGAAAAATTTTTGGAAGTAGCCGTAGCTGTCAATTCTACTGTGGGCTATATAACTAACATTGTTTACTGCTTCCAGTGACACCTGTTTTTTCAGGGAGAGCAGGTTTGTTAACAGTGCCTAACAGTGTAAATTTTAGAAAAGTATATATTTTTATAATGATATTTCACTACATGTAGTGTGCCTGAAAGATTTAATACTTTTAATTCTGAAGTTACTTTCTTAGGAAGCCAAACTCTTAAACATCTCTCTAATGTCCTTTTTTCTGTTGTGCATGTATTAACAAACATTTCACTGGCACAAGCTGATGGACAATAAGAGTCTTTGTGTCTATATTGATTGTCCGGACATCCTTCTGACTTATTATCTGTGAAGCACTTCGCAGACAAAGCTGTACTTCTCTGTACTTCAGCTTTCATAGTTCTTTTCCTGGGCAGAGACTGAGACACAACAGGAAAAGGAAGCTTGTCTAAGGATGCCTGATTTCCTTACAGTGGCTGAGAACAGGCTGCTGTTACTCATCTGAAAAAACGGAAAGTAAAATTGCTAGAAGTGCACTTTTTAAAAATTTGATATATGAGGAAACAATACCAGTAGATCAGTAGGGACTTCAGTAAGAGGCATTTCTTCCACAGAGCCTTGATTTTGAGGTCTGTATTACTTGTTGAATCTAGTCCATCAGGAGCAGCCAAAAATTTGCTGCTGTTACTGCCACTTTGCAAGCAGCGAAGCAGTGTCCAGCAACCTTTGCTTTGAAGTCTGGTGCTTGAAACTCTACAACACCTCATCAACCAACTTATGCTGAGATTGTGTGTAATAATCAGATGTATATATAATTGAAGAAAGAAGTTTCCTATTTGTAACTTTCTATTTGTAACTTCTTATTTCTATCTTCTTTATTTGTAAAATGCTACATTGAAAATTGCATCTAGGGAGTAAGTTTCCTTTTGCCACTTCTTGACACAAGAACGCTCTTAATATTGGGAAGTAATTTCAGCAGCTGGTGAACATCAGCATAGTGTCAAAGATACCTGTGGAGTTCATGCACTGAAATTAGCTGCCAACAAGAACTGGTGTCACAGATCACAATGCCAGTGTCTGCAAACCTCACCAAGTTGCCTGTAGACAAATGAATGCTTCATTTCTTTTTGAAGTACCATGAAACAGAACTGAAATGTTGTCTTTCCACAGTTGGTTCTTATTTGCTTTAGCCATACGGACACCAATTTTGTATCTATGCTTCAGTGAAACTGAATTCAAGAGAGCCAGTTCAACCTATGAGATTTTTTTAATTTCATGGATGGATTTGTTTTCACTGTGGATAAACTTGTTTGTGCTTAGTCAGTATCACTTTTGAAACCTTGGGGCTCTAGGCTTTTGAAGTGCAGCCCCAATTACACATGACTTGTGTAATTTCAGACTTGGAATGGGAATACTTTCTTACCATTTACTACTTTGTTATATTTAGCACCTTCTCTGTGGACCTGCACTGACTTCATAGCCAAAGATTTAGGTTATGGTTTAAAAACGTCTTGTCGGCAAAATCAATTGGGTGTGAGTTTGCCTCTAAAGCCTTGAAGGAGAAGCAGTTCAGCTATTTCACAGAGGTTTGATAAATTGTTCATGGTAAGATTTCAGTGGCTGCATGTGAAACAATTCAACAAACACTACAATGGAAACAAGGTTTTCAATAAAGATGTCAACTGGGAGATCAGACTTGAATAACTAGACTGAGAGAAATTTTCAGTGTGATCACTTACTTCTCAGAAATGAGCACAACTTATTTCTGTGAAGCAATGTATTTATTTGTCAGTATGTTTGACAGTGCAGCTGCCTTTTTGTTTCTACTAATAACCTGCACATGGACAACTTTCCTGTATGTGAAGAGGAGGATTGAATATAAGCACTGAAAAAAGCGCAGTGACCAAAGGAGCTTCTGTTGCCTCCTGAAAACCTGTATTATTTTCTTCTCCAGGGGTCTTTTATTTTGGTGACCTTCATACAGTGCCATGTGGATAGAATTGTACCTCCAGTCTGTTGAGATTGATGTGACAATTGTCTTATATGTGGAATTGCCTTATTTTTTGTCTCCCCATTTCATTCTTTCCTCTTCCTTCCCCCTACTGCTTGTAGGTTATCATGCAGCTTAAGCATTGTTTAGCCAGTGAAAGAGGAGGTTTTGTCTCTTCTTCTGAGATGTTTTTTCTGGGTGACTTTCAGTATATTTTTTTTTTTTTCTCAACCCTTAATTTGATATAAATAAAATGTAATGGTTTTTTACTTCTGGAGTCTGATTTAAGATTTGTCTGTTGATTTGTTTGAGCCAGTCACTAGGATTTCCCTTTTAAGGTTTAGACTGGCTACTGAGACTGCAATTTCTGCGCGACTACGGAAATGGTAAAGGTCTGATGGTGTTTGTGAGTATATTTTGCTGAAGCTAATTCTTGATTATTTTTTTCCAGTGTGAGCTGCTGAATAACAGTTAAGTTTGCCACTTTCCTCTCTGCTGTTAATGGAAAGCTGTGAGCGAGTGAAGAGCTGCAGAATGGTGTAGAGAAATTACTAAATCTCTGAACACCCAAAAAGCTAATTAAGACTGCTGTTTGAACTTTGGCTGCCATTATCCACAGTTACCACTGCTGTGACTTGTCCAGTCCATGGTTTGTCATGTCTGAGCGATGTTCCTGAAGCTATTTTTAAGAGTTAAGAAGGGAACTAACTTCTAGATTTGAAGATGAGGCTTGCAGGAATAGGTTTGTGTCTATTTCTTTGACCACTTCAACATCTCTTTAATGCAATAAAACCTGACTTTAGTTTTAATAACATCAGAGAAACATTTAACCAATAGATAATGGCTATATTAGAATAATGCAATTTCTGGAACTAGATACACTAGAAAATTAAGCCTGGATCATTTGTGAGAAAAGTGACTTAACTTGAATGTGGCTGTTTGGTGTGTATATACAGAATTTGTAATAAATTCTGATCTCTTCTACTAATGCCTGGTTTAGGCACAACCGCGGATCTTACTCTGAAGTCAAGATTGTCTGAAGCTCTGTCTCATTTAGACATTGGAAGTGTGTATGATGCTCATATCACTCTGCTTTAAACAAGAGGAAACTTCTTGTGATTCACCACCTCTTTTCATTTCTTTTACTCTGTGTTCAAAACCTGCTTGTGTGTTACTCACCAAGTGACTTGTTTGGGGTAGTTTTAGGAAATTCCCTTTCTCAAAGGTACTCTTAAAAGTGATATTTGGGTTAGAAGTATAGAAGACTAAAGAATGTTAACATGTTTTGCAGGTGGGAAAGCTTCTTGCAAGAACAGTTGCAATGTTTGTTTGCAGACATATGCCTGTTCTACTCTAGTTGTTTGAGAACAGGAGGCCTTGTTGACTTTTAAATATTTCCTGCTTTATAATAACTTTTAGATGTCAGTACTTCCTTGGGGTTTTTTTCCTCAATATTTTTTATTGCTGGCAAAAAAGTGATAGTTCCATAGCTCTTCAATATGTACCACTGCAGGATTTTGAATTTGTTTTCCTAAGTCTTTGCAATGTGACTCGGCAACCTACTTGCAACTGTTTCTACAGGTCCCATAAGGACAAATTGTGCAATAGA